ATTATTGTACTGGAGAGTCAAGAAGCCAAAACTGAAGGAAAAGAGGTCAAAGTGAAAGAGTTGAACAAATGGTTTCAAAAGGCAACTCAGGAGGATAAAGCAAGGTATTATAATGGAACATGCAGAGAGCTGGAATTGGAGAATAAAAAGAGAACTCATTCTGCATTTCTCAAGCTGAAAGAACTTAAAAACAAATTTAAGCCTCGTGTCGCAATATTGAAAGCTTCTATGGGCAATATATTGAATGACTCAGAAAACATCAAAAGAAGATGGAGGGAATACACAGAGTCACTGTTCCAGAAAGAATTGATTGAATTGAAAAATTTCAGAAAGTACCATATGAAAAGGTGCTCATGGTAATGCAGGAGGAAGTAGAAACAGCATTGAAGGCACTGGCAAAAAATAAGGCCCTAGGAATCAATGAGATACCAATTGACTTGTTTTAACTAACAGGCGTAGCCTAGAATGCACTCACCTGTCTATGCCCAGAAATTTAGGGGATGGCTGTTTGGTCAATGGTTTGGAAGAGGTCCATATTTGTTCCCATTTCCAAGAAAGGTGAACCAATTGAATATGGAAACTACAAATGATATCATTAATATCACATGCAAGCAAAACACTGCTGAAGATCATTTAAAAACAACACATAGATAAGGAACTGCCAGTAGCTCAAGAAGAATATAGAAGAGGTCGTGACACTAGGGATATCATTGCTAATGTCAGATAGTTCCTGGCTGAAAGTAAAGAATACCAGAAGAACATCTATTTGTGCTGACCCTGCAAATGCATTTGACTGTGTGGATCATGACAAGTTGTGGCTGACAATGAGAAGAATGAAAATCCCAGAGCAGCTGATTGTGTTCATGCAGAACCTATACCTGGATCAGGAGGCTGTTGTGTGAACAGAGTAGGGTAGCACTACATGGTTTGGAATTGGGAAGGGAATATGTCATGGTTTTAGTCTGTCTCCATACCTATTTAATCTGAACAAATTATCTGAGAAGCTGGACCCTCTGAGGAGGAGTGTGGCATCAGGATTGGAGAGAGACTCATCAATAACCTGCATCATGCAGATGACACAATCTTGCTTGCTGAAAGTGAAGAGAACTTGAACCACTTGTTGCAGAAGATTAAGGAATGCAGTCTTCAGTATGGATTGTATCTCAATGTCAGGAAAACAAATATTCTTACCACTGGACTGATAGACAATGTAATGCTGGATGAAGAGGAGATTGAAACTGTCAACAGCTTCATCATACTTGGATCTACAATTAACACCTTTGGTACCAGTAGTCAGGAAATAAGGAGAAGCATTGCACTGGAAAAATCTGCAGTTTGGGGCCCTTCCAACTTGTTGAGGAGTAATTATGTCAATTTGAGGACTCAGGTGTGTCTGATTCAAACAGTAGTCTTTCCAATTACCAGATATGCATCTGAGAGCTGGGCAATGAATAATGATGTTAGAAAAAGAATCAATGCCTTTGAACTGTGATGTTGGAGAAGAGCACTGAACGTCCCAAGGACAGCCAAGAGAACTAACAGATATGTCTTGGAGAGGGTGCCACCAGAACACTCTGGAGGCAAGAATGAAGAGGCTTTGTCTCACATATTTTGGACATGTTGCTAGGAAAAGGACATGATGTTTAGAAGGATGGAGGGTCAGCAAAGGAGAGGAAGATCCTGGATTGGTGGATTGATATAGGGGATTAATATGGTGACTTCTGCAATGGGCTCTTGTGTGTCAGGTAGTGTGAGGCTGGTGCAGAATAGAACAGGGTTCAGATCTTTTGTTCATAGGGTCACTATGATTTGTGCTTGACTTGATGGCACTGAGCAAAAACAACATCATTAATATCACATGAAAGCATGTGATCTTGCTGAAAATTCTCCAAAAATGGTTATAACAGTACATCAACAGAGAACTGCCAGGAATACAAGTCAGATTTAGAAGAGGCAATGCCAACAGGAACACCATTGCTGATGGCAGAGGATATCTATTTGTGTTTTATTGGCTATGCAAAGGCATTTGACTGTATGGGTCACAACAAATTAATGCTAATGGCTAACGTTGAGAAGAATGGGAATCCCAGAACACTTAATTGTGCTCATTCAAAACCTATACCGACATCATGAAGTCATCGTGCAAACAAAGCAAGGGAGTATTGTGTGGTTCAAAATGGAAAAAGGAGTGTGTCAAAGATATATTATTTCTCTACACTTTTTTTTAGGGAGAGGAGTTAAAAGGTTATAATAATTCATATTCATAACAAAATACAGTCAACATAGCTCCCAAAATGTGCACGCAGGCACGTTAGACTCTAGCTTCGTGGCTCTAAGTATTCCCAAGTTCTCAGTTCTTCCTATATCCACTTCCCCCGAGTCATCCAACAAAGTCGTTTAACAAATCTATATATTTGTTAGATCATTTGAAAAGCTAGACTTTATAAGGAACAGTATGGCATCAGATTCATAGAAGGATTCATCAACAACCTGCATTATGCAGATTGAACAACTTGGCTTTAAAAAGTGAGGAAGACTTAAAAGCACTTGCTGCAGAGGATCAACAGCTACAGCCTTCAACGTGGATTGCACCTTAGCATTAAGAAAATAAAAATCCTCACCATCAGGCTAATAGACAATATCATGATAGATGAGAGGAAAGATTGTAGTCGTCAACAATTTCATCTTACTTGGATCTACGATCAGCACCCTTGGCACTAACAGAAAATTTAAAAATGAGCTGCTCTGGGGAAATACGCTTTCAAGGACTTTTCCACAGAAATAAGGGGCGCCTACACCGTGTGTCTGGTGCCCGGGAGTGGCATCCACTTCCTAAATAGCATGCATCCAGAACCCCTATGAACGTTGATAAATGTCAATATTTGTAGAGGGGCCTCAAGCCTTTTGTTCATAGGGTCACTATGAGTCATGCTCAACTTTAAGGCAATCAACAACAACCAAGAGTAACGTGTGCCTGATCAAAGCCATGTTTGTTTGTTTTTTCAATTGCTTGCTATGCATGTGAAAGCTAGACAATACCTAAGAATGACAGAAGAATCAATGCCTTTCAGTTTTGGTGCTGGGGAAGAATATTAAATATCCCATGGACTGCTAAGAGAACAAACAAGTCTACTTTGAAGAAAGTGAAACCAGGGTGCTTTGTGGAGGCAGAGATGATGAAATTCCATCTCACATACTTTGGACATGTCATCAAGAGAGGCCAGTTGTGGGAAAAGGGCATCATGCTTGGAAAGGTGGGGGGTCAGTACAGGAAAGGAAGACAAAATGGGTTGACACAGTCACTGTAGCAATGCAGTCAAAAGCATCTGAGATAGTGAATTTGGCGCAGAATATCTCAAGGTCCAGAGCTTTTGCTGGGTATAAGTGAGTCATAGTCTGTTCAATGGCACATAACAACAACGACATTGCAACCAATTGAATAATAAAGTCCACATTGTTGTGTTATTACATGTCCTTGAATGGGAACAGGCTCAAAGCTGACCTGCAATGTTTTTCAGGGGCTATTAATTACATGAGAGGAAACTGCCTATCTTTTTTCCCTGCAGATCAACTGACGGATTCGAACCACCTGCCTTTGGATTAGCAGTGGAACTCCTTACCACTTAACCATGAGTGCTAGTTTATAGTAATTTGGTGACCCTAATAAAGCAAATGCACACCAAAAGACTATTTCCTCATCAAAGAGTAGGGATCACTGTTTTCAAGCCTTGGATTGCTTCTGCTTTCCAGTCCAGCCTTAACAACCAGGTCGAATTATTCTAGCCTCAGTGTTCACTTTTATACTAATACTGACTTTTCATAGCTATTGTGAAAATTTCATAATAGACTGTGTAAAATCCCTGGCATATACAAGTTGCTAACTAAACCACAGCTTTTAGTGGGCTCTTATCATCTCTATTATTAAGTTCCCTAAAGAAATGAGAAGTGTTTGCTTGCTTTTCACTTAGGGCTACATTACTGATTCCCTGGTGCAAATTGGCCTTTCTGAGAAGTATGAATTTGCAATAAAACTACATAGATAATTTTCTCTAAATGCCTTGCAGGTTCGTTTCTGCAGGGAGCAGAGAAATCCATATCCTTGGTTCGAGGAGGGCGGAGTAAATACGCAGCAGCTTTGGCATGGGAGAAAGGGAGCTCTGGGCCAGAGGAGAAGGTCTTTTCTGAGTGGTTAGAATCCGTGAAGGAAAACCCTGTTGTGATTGACTTTAAGGTAAGAATTAAACTGTTTTATGGGTAAAAGTTGAAGTAGTTCTCCAGCAGCCCAAATTGTACTGCATAAAATCCATTTTCCTGTCAAATGATAAAGGGAATGTCTGTGTTTGCTATGTATGCACAATGCACCTTTTTTTCTTCTTCCTGTGCTGTTTTGCACTGTCGTGACTTTACCTACTGAGACAAACATTCTAGAGCACAGCATTTAGAATTCCTAACATGCGTGAACTGCCAAGGAAGAGAACTGAGTGGGTGAAAGTACTCAGACTTGCCTTGAATAGTATTCTTCACCTCCTCATGTACACAGTAAATCTAATTTCTGTGCTTTTCTTGTCTCTGTTTTGGATGAGCACCCCAAAATCTTTATTTATATCTCTGTGAGAGAAATGACCCAGCCAATCCACTGCTAGGAATATACCTGTGGAAATTAGAACTGAGACACCAACAGACATTTGCACACTAATGTTCACAGTGACATTAGTCACAATCTTGAGAATATTGAAACAGCCCAAATGTCCAACAAAAAACAAATGGATTCAGAAATTGTGATACATTCACGTGATGGGATACTACACAGCACTCAGGAGTAATGATTTTGAAAACTACTATATAAATAACTTAGGAGGGACTAGAGAGCATTATGTTGAGTTAACTAACTTGGTCTATTAAGGACAAATAATGCCTAAAACCATTGTAAAAATAGAAGGATAACTAGTAAAATGTGTAGGGGGAAAAGGGATGAGGTGAGATGGGTGATGATGAGGGGTTGGTTAATCATAGTATCACACAATTTTGTGGGTTGAGGGACAGGGTAAAGAAAATGGGAAAGATGTAGTTGGGACCTGAAAAGACAGGGTAATTGTGGGCAAAGTTTAATGGGGATTAAGTTTATAAAACACAATGTGCAAGAATGATTGTATGAAACACAATGTGAAGGAAGAAAAGTGTGAAACACAATGTATACAAATTTTGTATGCAAATGACTATAAAAATTTAAAATTATGCCTTATGAACAAATTAGCAATTAAACTAATTAGCATTAGTCTGTGAATTATTCATTAATGCAATGACAGAATAAAATTAGAATTACCAGGTTCATAAATTTTACTTTTCAGTGTGTGAGGTTCTATATTTTGAAAAGAGAGCAACTACCTTAACAAAATATAGTTACAGATTTTCACTAAAAAAACCAAAAAAACAAACAAAAATTGGCTTCTAAAGAGCCTGTTATGTTCATTTAAGTGAAGAAAGGAGAACTCTGTCACTGTGAGAGTGGAATAATTTCTGTGCATTTCTAGGTACATTTAGGCCTACAACTAGGAAGATAATAAGATCCAGTCTGCCAGGGGGTTACTTGAGAATCATGCATAAGGCTAAATCATCACTTTGGATAATTTAAAATGTTGGTAAAATGAGCCTTGATTGTTAGTTAGCTCCATTTTTCTGTTACTGTAGCTCTTCCATTCATCCTAGTGGCAAATTCAAGTCCTATTTCCCCGTCCACATTTTCCCATCAGGCTTCATCATGAGCCAGTCCCAATCTCGTCTCTTCTCTGCCCTCCCCACCCCTCTTCTCCTCTCCCCTCCCCTACACTTCCCCTCCGCTTCCCTTCTTTCCCCTTCACTCTCCTCCTCTCCCCTCCATTTTCCTCTCCTCACCTCTCCTCGCCTCCCATCCCCTCTCTCATTACTACCAAGTTAGATATGATTCTAGTGTGTTCTTGTTTTTTTAAAAAAATAAGTTATTGTTATTATTATTACTATTATTATTAATTTTAATGAAAATATACAGATATTCTTGGACTTCCATTCATTCATTGTTGCCGTTTTCTCCCTGCCCATGCCTCCCTGGTTCTTCTTCTCTTTGAAAAGCAAAAGAAAAACTTTTTCATTGTTATATAATCCCTCCCCCAAGTCCAGTCCATTAGGCAGCCTTCGTTCTGGACTCATGTCATGACAATAATTCCTAATTATACATCCCTTTTAAACAGTTATCTCTTTCATCTGTTTCAATGCAGTATACATAATTTAAGGCTATAAATTGAATACTAGGAAAAGTTTTACAGTTCTCCTGGTGATTTCAAACTGCCTTGAGTTAGCAATAGAACTCTCTACAAATCATGCCATTACATCTCTTTCAAATATCAACACTGTCTCTGAAAACAACACTCTTGCTAATCATAGTTACTGGCATCAAGTTGGAATCAACTTCTAGATGACCCTTCAATGTGTCAATACTATAAATCTCACAGAAACAGATGGCTTTTCTTTTGCCAGAAGAGCCACTGGTGGATTTGAATCACCAGAGAGTTACCAAAACACACTTCCTTGTAGATTATACTATCAGAGCTTCCTGAAAAGTGCACAAAACATGGAAAAGTTTTCTTCCTCACTCCCCCAAAGATTTTCCACTTGAATTAAACATAATGCTTGGTTGCCTATCTCATTCCTTTAATGGAAGCTTTTAAAGCTTAATGACTGCATAATGTAAGTTCAAGAAAGTGACAGCTTATCGGATATGCTTCCTATATGACTGCATGGTAGGAGTCCAGAGTAGGTAGGCGATCTAGATACATCATAATTACCTAGCTTTAGGAATTAAAAAAAAAAATCCAAACCAACCCTTTGTGGTCAAGAGAATTCGAGATTATAGTGACTCCTATATTACAGAGCAGAACTAAGCACCAGGTAGGTCTTTCACTTAGAAATAGAAGCACATCACCAGGGCTTTCCCCACATTTTATGTGAGGGGGCTCAAACAGTCAACCTTTCTCTCATTATCCAAGAGCAAACCATTTTCACCACCCAGGGACAACTTAGGAACAGCAAACTCAAAACAAAGTCACTGCTATGGCATCATTTCTAACTCATCACAAACAAACAGAACAGAGTAGGACAGCCACATAGGGTTTTCTAAGTTATAAGTCTTTAAAGGACTAGGCTACCTCATGTTTATCCAGAAGAGTGGCTGGTAGATTTGAACCACCAACCTTGAGGTCCTCAGCCAAGCAATTTAATCACCGAGCCACCTGAAGATACCTCTCACAACCAATCTAGCCAGGAAAGGGTTCAAAAGACAAGTATACTTCATCCTTCACTAATTCCCTAGAAATAGAGAATTGGCTACACTTTGCCTCTTTCATTCTATGAGAATCAGGTCTCAAGGGCTATATATCACCAGTGTGAATGTGACTGTTCCTTCTCTTTATTGCTTATTTTCAGCTTGCTCCCATCACGGATTTGGTAAGAAACATCCCGTGTGCAGTGACAAGGCGCAACAATCTCAGGAAAGCTTTTCAAGAGTATGCAGCCAAGTTTGACCCTTGCAAGTGTGCTCCGTGTCCTAACAATGGCCGACCCACACTCTCAGGGACCGAATGTCTCTGTGTGTGCCAGAGTGGAACCTACGGTGACAACTGTGAGCAGCGGGCTCCAGATGTTCAGTTCAGTAAGTACTAGGAACTCTATATTAGAAACCCACATTTACCCTGTCAACAATTGTTCTAGGTTGGACAACTAATTATTTTGTTAGAAGCATCTACCATGGCTTTGGTATAGGTTGCATCTCAATATCAAGAAAATAAAGATTCTTACCACTGGACCAATAGGCAGGATCATGATGGATGGAGAGGACACTGAAACTGTCAACAGCTTCATCTTCCTTGTATCTACAATTAACACCCTTGGTACCAGCAGTCAGGAAATAAGCATTGCACTGGGAAAATCTTCAAATAGGGATTTCTCCAAATTATTAAGGAGAAATTATGTCAGTTTGAAAACTAAGTTGTATCTGGTTCAGGCTTTAGTCTTTCCGTTTACTTGCTATGCATCTGAGAGATGGATAATAAATAAGAATGACAGAAAAATAATAGACGCCTTTGAGCTGTGGTGTTGAAGAAGAACACTAAACATTCCATGGACGGCCAAGAGAATGAATAAATATGTATTGGAGAGGGTGCAGCTAGAGTGCTCTGTAGAAGCAAAAATGCTGAGGCTTCACCTTACATACTTTGGACATGTTGCTAGGAGGGGTTATTCCTTGGAGAGTGACATGATGTTGGGAAGGGTGGAGGGTCAGTGAAAGAGAAGAAGACAAGACCATCAACAAGGTGGATTGACAGTGACTGCTGCAATGGTCTCTCGTGTGTCCGGAATTTTGAGGATGGCACAGGGTGGACCAGGATTCAGATCTTTTGTTCATAGGGTCACTATTAGTCATACTTGACTGACGGCACCTAACAACAACAACCACCACCATGTCTAAACTCACAAATCACTGTTAAAAAGACACAAAACGAAACAGTGCTAGTCTAAGTCTCAGCTGTGGAAATATAGTTACGTTGCTGTTTTTGTTAAGTGCTGCTTGTCCAGTATGACCCCAAACAACCCTATGAACAACAGATCTGAACCCTAGTTTATCCCGTGCTATCCCCATATGTCTTGACACACTATAGCCCATTTCTGTAGTCCCTACATCAATCCACCTAGTTGAAGGTCTTTCTCTCCTTTGCCGGCCCTCTGCCTTTCTGAGCATCATGTTCCTTTCCATGGAATAGCCTCTTCTAGAAACATGCCCAAAGTATGTAAGGTGAAATCTTATCATTCTTGCCTCCAAAGAGCACTCTGGCTGCATTTTCTCAAATCCCATTGGCTGTCCATGGGATTTTCAGCACTCTTCTCCAACACCGCAGCTCCAAGACATCAATTCTTCTGTCATTCTTATTCATTGTCCAGCTCTCAAATGCACAGCAAGTGATCAGAAAGACCATGGCCTGAACCATACATCTTATCAAATAATATAAATATATAGAAATAGTTGTAGATATATAGATATGGATATAGATATAAAACTATGTGCTGTATAGTAAGATCCAACCCATAGCTGTCCTTGCAGCTGGTTTTCAGAGGCTGTACATCACAGGAGAGGTGATCTTTCTCCTGAAGGACAGCTGGTGGATTTGAACTAAGTGCCTTTGTGTTGGCAGTGCAGCTCCTTACCACTATGCCACCAGAGATAGAGATAGAGAGATACAGATATAAAAGAAGCTTGGTGGCATAGTCCACATGGAGTTACATTGCTACTTTGAAGACTGATCTCTCTCTCTCTCTCTCTGGCAGTTCTAATTCACCAGCTGTTCAAATTATAACCTTGGAAACCTACTACAGGGTCAACTACAAGTTAGTTCCAACAGCTGTGCAGAGCAGATTAATTCAAACACCAACATGTGGATTGGCAGCACAAAGCCCTACCTTTAGGCCACCAGAATGCCCTTGTTAGGTATAGAAGAAATGAAATAAACTTAAGTAAGAACTCATATTCACTGCATGTAGAGTCAGTTCCAACTCATAGCCTCCCTCCACTGGGTTTCTGATAGTATAAATCATAGCAAGAGGATACTGCCCATCTTTCTTCAGAGAGCTGTTAGTGAATTTAAAATTACTTAAAAAGCTACTCAGGCTTACTGTTCCAATACTCATGGCACCCCCATGACCATTGCTGTTCTCATACTTCAAGTGTAGAGCAAAATTAAGCCTTATGGCTCAACTTTCAACCAAACAATAGACAGATCTATAAGGTGACAAATACTCCTTAGAATAATCAACCATTTAGGGACAAAAGAGCAGCATTTTCCTAAAGACAAGGCCCAGGAAGGGGTAGGATAAAAGCACCAATTTGCAAACCTCATTGGCCCCCAGTCAGATGCATAGCTAACCCTCCAGGCAGTTTTCAGCAGCTGCAGGCTCCAAATTACTCTTCTTTCTTCCTTGAAACAATGATGTATTCTAACTGCCTGCTTTTTGCATTAGAACAACAAGGAGAAGGTGGATAAGTGTGATTATAATGTGGATATTGAAATCAATCTTATAAAACAAAGTACATATGAATGATTGAATGAAATATCAATATATTTTGTACACTTTCATTCAAATAATATTTTTGAGACAGTTATTAAAAATTGTATTAATTCATTTATTCATTCATTGTTGCACATTTAATTCTCAAATTAACATTTTTTTTAAAGTTTAAAAATGAAACACACTTACAAGCCTCAGAAGCATAATCAAGGCTCATCACGAGTAGAAATGACTTCTACAGCAGTGGATTATGTGGTTTATATATGTTTGCTGGTGGTTGAAAATAGTTCTTCACTATTGCTATTTTGTCTAGCCTTTTGAAAATAAGAATGGGAAAACAAGAACAGTGCTGGCAATTTTCCACAATGACTTTCTGTTATTGCGCAAGGGAGGTCACGCAGCTGACAAGCAAGGGAACCCGTTTGCTCCAGTTCTAAAGCCCAAACCGTCTCAGATGCACAATGCATTGATCTTTCTCTGTTGCAGATGCAGTAAATGGGAACTGGGGTTGCTGGTCTTCTTGGAGCAGGTGTGATGCGACTTATAAGAGATCAAGAAGCAGAGAATGCAATAACCCTGCCCCCCAAAATGGAGGGAAGCCCTGTGAGGGGCAGCAGCAGCAAGAGGAGGACTGTACATTCTCAATATTTGAAAACGAGTAAGAATGGCAAAGGGGAATGAACATATCATCCACCCAACTCCTACATGGAGTTATTATTACTAAGAAAGGAATGATGGAATTCTGCCTATTCCAACACAGCATGTTCACAGGGAACTGGATCCGCGCCTATTTCATTCTCTTTATATGATGATTTCTATTTAAACACACGAACTTTGAGAAACGACGATAGTTATAGAAAGGCTTCAGGTCTTTTATTCATAGGGTCACTATGAGTCGTGCTCGACTCAATGGCAATCAACAACAATAAATACACACACATAGGTTTACCTACTTATATGTATATTTCTCCATATATAAAACAAGCCATTCTACTTATTTATATTATTATTGTTGTTGTGTGTACCATTGAGTTGGACTCAACTCATAGCTGACCCTCCAGCAAGTTTTCAGAGGCAGTCAATCAGACGGAAAGACTACCCACATTTTCCCATGGAGCCACTAGTGGAGTTGCTGCTGGTCAATTTGAACCACCTCCCTTTGGTTTGGCAGTACAACTCCTTACCACTAAACCATTAAAACTTATGTAGAAGATTTTATATTCTTTATGTATATGTTGTTGTTATGTGTCAGCCAGTCACCTGCTACTCATAGCGACCCTACGTGCAACAACTCTGAAGGCTGCCCTGTCCTCAGCCAGTCTCACAAACTCTGACACTACCCCATTTTCCTAGTTACTGTATCAATCCACCTCAAATGGAGTCTTCTTCTGCTTTGTTCCTCCAACCTTTCAAGCATGATGTTCTTCTCCAACTGGCTATGTACCCAATGTATGTGAGATAGAACTTCAAAATCCTAGCCTCCAAGGAGGAACTTGGTTTCACCCTCTCAAAAACAGACCTATTTGTTTTCTTGGTGGTCTGTGATATGTTCAAGAATCTTCTTCAGCATCACAATGTGAAGGCATTGATTCTTCTTCTGTCATTCTTAGTCATTGTCCAATGCTCTGATGCATACCAAGTAATTGTGAAGTCCATGGCCTGGATCAGGCACACCTTAGTCTCTAGACTGACATCGTTGCTTCATCAGTACTCTGGAAAGGTCCCCTAAAGGCAGATTTAACTAATGCAATTAGTCTTTTAATTTATGTATATAATTTGTATTTTATATCCTATAAGTTTAGATTGTGTATATATTTACAAATAATTTTATACTTACACATCAATCTATTTCTCTCTCCACACACACATTTCTGTTTTCCTTTTCAGTGGGCAGCCCTGTATCAGTGATGGTGAAGAAATTAAAGAAGTAGATCTTCCTGAGATAGAATCAGACTCAGGGTGTCCTCAGCCTGTTCCTCCAGAAAATGGATTTATCCGGGTCAGTGTCCTGAACTTTACTTGAGGTTGTGTTGTTATTTCTGTCAAGTGCCATCAAGATGATTTTACTCACTGACATAGTGACTAGGGTAATGAGGTGGGTGTATTGGAGATGATGAGATTGGCACAGGATAGAGAAGGATACAGAGCTGTTGTACAAAGGATCATTATGATTCACAAGTGATTCAATGACACTTAGCAGCAACAACAACAACAACAGGACAGATATGGCAGAATAGAATTGGCCTAAAGGGTTTTTTTACATTGTAATGGTTATAGGATCACGTTTATGGATTCGAACGACTAACCTTTCAGTTTGCAGTTGAACACAGTCGTATTTATACCAAGGCCTCCTTTAAGTCTATTGTTGTTCTTATTTATTGAACCAGCTCACAGCTGACCCTCCAGTGAATTTTCAAAGGCTATAAGTCGCACAGGAGAAAATTGTCCCTCTTTCTTCTGCTGTGATGTATTTGAAATGCTTGCCTCTTTGTTGGCAGCAAAATTGCTAGGCCAGCAGGGCCTCCTTCTAGCCAGTTAGTGTTCAAAAAGTAGAACTTAAAATGTATGGATTTTCCTTTAGTGAAAGTTAGTGGTTTTCTATTTATTATTAATGTTACTATTTATTTTTATTACTACTAATATTTATTAGAGTTATGGATTTCTAATAACTTCCTATTTCAAGATGGATCTAGAAATTACTTTTTTAACTATGAAAGTGACTCTGTTTTTCATCTCTGGTGTAGCAGATCATATGATTGTCTGACTCAAAATGCCCCACACCAACCCATCTCATTTTACCAATACCCACTATGTCAATAGTTGGGTTCCATTTCTTCCTTAACAATGTCCAATTTTCCTACTTTCATGCTTCTCACATTTCACGTTCCAATCACCAGTGTCTGTTTACAGATGTTTCTCCTCCTTTATGTTTCCATATTTGAAGGCTCAGCCTCAGTTTTCATATCTGCTAGTCTAGTCTAAGTGTGTTCTATTGTACTATAGAGTTTTCAAAGACCTGTTATTTTGAAGTAGATAGACAATCCTTCTTAATCGGTCTTAATTTGAATACTCAGCTTTAGAACAGTATCTTACAGACAAACACTTAACAGAGAGGAGCAAATGAAAGATAATTCCCCATTATAAAAGTAACCAATAGATTCAGCATCGCCAGCCCTTCCTAGGCACGTGTATCTTGACCCATCCCCCCCTGGTCTACTGGCATTCCTTTCCACTCCTATCTACTCTGTTCAACACCTTCCTCCTCACATCCAATCCTTGATATGATGGCTTAGCTTTCAGATTGTCTCTGTGATGCCTAACACCTCATGCTATTACTGGTCTCTTATGCTGCTGCCACTCTCTCTTGAGTTTAAGAGGCTCCAAGTCCAAATTCCAAGTACCAGTTTTAGGGAAGCATTTCTGTCTCAGACAGCGCTGAGCAAAAGTTCGTGCCTCTAAGCTTCTGCTCCAGGACTGACTTCTTGTGACTTAATGCCTCTGCTCTTCTAATTATAGCATTCTGCTCTCACAGTAGGATAACTTCCCAGCAAAGAGTGAGGTCTCCTCTAGATCTGGTATACAAGTTTTGTTCTCTGTTTCTCTGACTGTCTGCTGAGCCCAGTGGAATTCTGGGAGGATGGGCATTACCTGGTTTAGAGAGGACAAAGGTGAATCCAGATATCCCTGCCTTTGAAGCCCTGGAGCTAATTATCTATGTAGGCTGTGTCTTGTGATGATTCACCTTTGCCCTCTCTAAATCAGGACTATGGGTCAGTTCTGATTCAAGGACCCAAAACAACAACAATAAAGATTGAGACAGTGGTTCATTATTCTTTTGACTCTTTTTATAAAATTGTATGTTTCATTTCATGAACAAACTTACTCAGTTTTTATTATGCTCCATTTTAAACATCTCATCTTTATTCAAAAGTACTATAACTTTAATTCATCCTGTGAATTTGTACTTGCTTGAGTGAAGAGTAAAGAAAGTAGAAGAAATGAAGTAACAGAGTTAAAGAAAATATTTCAAAGGGTAATTATTATTTTATTGGAGCTCTGATGGCCTAGTGGCAAGAAGCTGCACTGCAACCCCAAAGGTGTCATTCACTTAATTATTGTTATTGTGTGTTGTTGGAATCCACCCATAGCTGACCCTCCAGTGGGCTTTTAGAGGCAGTAAATCGCATCTTCCTGCTGAGCACCTAGTGGCTTCAAACCACCTGCCTTTGGAACTGGAGCACAATTACCACTGTGCCACCTCACCGATGAACAGAAGAATATGAACTTTTCCTTCTCCAGTGACATTCTGATTTCAAAAGGTAGTTTGAGAAAACAAAATGAAGTGTTATAATTAAATTGCTGTGCATGGTTGCTGTGATGCTAAACATTGTGACACTGATGTGTCAAATGTGATAATGGTTACCCATGGTGGAAAGTTTGGTGGAGCTCCCAGATTAAAACAGGCTTGGAAGCAGGAGTGGCATCCACTTCAGAAATAGAGAAACGATAAAAGTTATACAAGTTTTCAAGTCTTTCATTCACAGGGTTTGCTATGAGTCATTTATGACTTGATGACACTTAACAACAGCAACAATGAGATTAGACAACCAACTTTTCCATAATTTTTGACTCATGTACTTATAACTTGTTAGTCAAATTTGTGTCTTCTAGGTTGCAACACCCCCATGATACATCTTCAAGGATATGAACATGTACGGCCAAGCACAATCAATAAGAGTGCATCTAAATCCCAAAATCAATCTCCATAATAGTCTATGTGTTTCCTACTGCCAAAGGGGCCCTTTAGAGTAGTGAGAGAAGACCTTCACCCTGAAACCCACAGCGTCCCTTTTCAGCAGGAAGTAGCTAAGAGAATACGCCATCCCCTTTTCCTTATGAATCAGGGTGAAGTCTCTCTCAGGGAGGAGTGATAGGGAATGGCAAAGGACACACCGACAAAGGAGATTAATCAGAACTGACTTTGACAAGCACTGTGGCAATTGGACAATTAAAACAGACATTCAGATGGCGGGGAAGAAGAACAAACTGGGGAGGAGGGTGGAGAAAATAGTGCAACAATGAATGAATGAAAACCCAAAATCCCTGTAAATGTTCATTAAAACTAATAAAATTTAATAATTAAAAAAAAGAAAGAAAACCAAAAGGTAAGAACACACTCAGCGCTTTATAAGCTGAAAGAAGTGAAGAAAAAAAATTAAAGATTTGAGTAATAATATTGAAGGAGTATTGAAGTTCAACATCAAGAAAACAAAAGATTCTTACCATTAGCGAATACACAGCAACAAAGTAGATGAAGAAGAGATTGAGATTGTTAACAATTTCAGCTTGCTCAGGTCTGCAATCAATACTCTTGGCACCAGCAGTCAGGAAATCAAAAGGCAATTGCACTTGGAAAACCTACTGTCAGACACCTCTCCAGAGTGCTTAAGACCATCGATGCCAGTTTAGAGACTAAAGTGTACCTGATCCAGGCCATGGTCTTTGCAGCCACTTGCTATGTAGCAGAGAGCGACAATGACTCAGGCTAACAAAAGAAAAGCCATTGCCTTGGAGTTCTGATGCTAGAAAAGAGTCTTTAATAGTCCACAGACTGCTAAGGGAACAAACAGGCCTGTTCTAAAGAGGGTGAAACTGTCACTCTTTGGAGACAAGGATTTTGAAACTCCATCTGACATATGTTGAGCATGTTACCAGAAGGGACCAGTCCTTGGAGATGAACATTGTTCTTGGAAGGTTGGAGGGACAGTGCAGGAGAAGACAACCCTGGATGAGACGAATTTGCACAATAACTGGAGTAATTTGGGTGGGTTTATCAGAGAGAGTGAGACTGGCTTAGGATAGGGCAGGAATCAGAGCTATTGTGCATAGGATCACTATGAATCACAGTCAACTCAATAGCACATAAAAACATTGAAGGAGTGTGTAAATAGATATTAATTTACACAGGAAATAACAAGATGTATACAATTTGAACTAACTCATAGCTGACCCTCCAGATGGTTTTCTTGGGCTGTAAATCACACTGGAGGAGACGATTATCTTTCTCCCAAAGAGGTGCAGGTGGATAGGAGCACAACTTCCTGAAGACTACAGCAGAAGAGCTCCCAGCTGAGGGACTGTATGAGCAAAATAAAAGCATAAGAAACATAAAGGTAAGATGGAAGGAATACACAGTTACCGTATCCAAAAGAATTGGTCAATCCTTAAACATTTTAGGATACAACGTGATCAAGAATCAGCGGTAACATGACCAAGAATCAAGGAAGAACTTCAAAGTGGATTAAAGACATTGGCAAAAATGAAGTTCTAGGAATTTATGAAATACCAAACATTTTTACCAAATTATTGCAATGTTGGAAGGACTTCTTGTTCTATTCCAAGAAATATGAAAGATAGCAACCTGGCCAATCAACTGAAAGAAGTCCATTTGTGCACATTCCAAAAAAAGGTGATCCAACAGAATGTAAAAAGTATTCAATAGTATCATTGATATCATATACAAATAACATTTTGTAGAAAATAATTATAAAACAGTTGTGGTAGTCCATTACCAGGGAACTACCAGAAATTCAGACTAGAATTAATCTCAGAAAAGGATGTGGAGACAAACATCACATGGATATTAACTGCAACCAGAGAATACCAAAAAGATGTTTACTTGTGTTTTATTGATTGGGCAAAGACGTTCAGCTTTTGAGATCATGACAAATTACACATAACATTGAAAAGAATGGAAATTCCAGAGTACTCACTTGTGCTCATGCAGAACAATCATTTGAACAAAAGCAGGAGATACTGCAAGTTTTAATAGCAGGGATCATTTGTATTAGATTTAAATCCTTTCACACAATTGTCCCATGTATACGCTGAGAAATCATCCAAGAAGATCAACTATGTAAATAAGAAACCACTGAAGCATTGGAATTGAAGAAAGACTCATTAACAACCTGTCATATGCAGATGTCACACTCATGTTTG